CATTAACTACACAGAACAGTTTTTGTTTTTCCTTTTAATATTTATTTATTTTTATCTATCAACTTTAACAGGCTGATATGGAGAATCTGCAGATAAGTGACACAGACGAGCCACAAGGCCCACATTTGGTAAAATTGTGTCTCAGTACTATAATGACAGCTTTATGATTTTCAGTTTTTTCTGTTATAGTTATCAGTTTCACACATTTGAATATGTAATTTTTTATCATTACATATTCATATAGAAGCACAACATATGCCAACAGATTTTGGAAGCAAACAAGTGGTGCACTGAAAACAAAAGCCCATTTCAAGGGAGAGGTTGCACCACCACCACTGCTGTATATGACCAGTGATGAGGCAAATGAGGCCCTGTGCAAATTTGACTTACTGCCTGCGATCAGTGAAGATGAAAAAGCTGACATCCTTGTAAGTTTTTCATTTTTGTTCACAGAAATGAAGGAAATGCATTTCTTTCTGGAAAATGTAAGAGACAAAATGAAGCTTAGAGTTTGTTGTCTAAAAATTTAGATTCATGCAGCCTTATTAGGCCATTCACCCTTATTAGGCCAAGAATGTTTGTGATTTAAACTCTTACAAGGGTAAACTGTTATTTTTATGATTAGACTGATTAATGACTCCTATAACTGATTGCTAGTTTAGCACTAATATTATTTATTTACATGTTTGCTTATGTGTTTGTTTGTTTCTGTGTTTGAAACTGGTAAACACGTAAATTCATTTTTGAAGAAAGGACATTTTATTTTTATCCTTTGAAGGGTAAACTTAAAAGCAATTATACTTTTACAGTTACTTGTTTTTGCTGGAATTAATAGTGATTTAAGCTCCTTAAAGGGTAACTTCAAATGTTTAGATTGATTTTTATTGCTGTAACTGATTGTTGTATCAGTTATGCCATTACTATGTATTGTTTGAACAACATTTTTACTTCAGCAGTATTTTTCTTTTGGTACATTCTTCATTAAATTTACACACAATGTAAATAGCAAAATGTATTTTCAAATTATGTCAAAACCTGAAAAATGACAAAAATGGAGATACAAGGTTTTCTTCTCATAGCAGCCATGTGTTAATACATTTCCACAACAGTTCATTTATTGGTTGATGTTATTTTTATGTCAGATTATGCAATACATCATGACTGAAATGATTTATTCCATCAAAAAAAAAAAACATTTTTTGCCCAATTTAGGTTTTATGTACTGTTCTTTCATTCATAGCAAATCTATGAATTGTTCATTTCTGTATGCAATATTTAACCTTCAAAGTCTATCTGAGATTTCATGTTACCAGCAGCGAGATATGAAATCACCATGGATCAGACCATTTTTAAGGGGAACACTGGTTCTCCTTTGAAAATACCTCAAAATATTGGCCCGTGATCATTAAGGACCTCAAAATCCATCTGCAATTTTAGCTTACTGAAATTTACTTGAATGAACTATTGCTTTATGTGTCATGTTCGCACCTATTTCTGATTGAAAATTGAATCCAAATATTTTGTATAGAGGGAACTGTTCTCCCTTTCTCTATGACATGAATAAGACCTTCAATATCCCTGAAGAACTTAAGCTTTTTATTAATTCATCGTGCATTACTGCTCTAAATGCCATGTTGCCAGTAATTTTATTATTAAAACATCATCTGGGGGCAGACTAAAATAAGATTTTCCTTACAGTGAGACACTATGTGTGATATGTCATTTTTCTGGCACAATGTAAATAACACCTTCAATATCCCCCTGGAATTTCAGCTTTCTATTCATCTACCTGTGGGTACCACTGCTCTATGTGCCATGCTGCCAGTTATTTTCAAGTATTAAATCAGCTTGGGTCAGGCTAAAACTAAGTTTTCCTTACAGGGGAGACTGGATCTCTTCCTAAGATATGTAATTTTCCTGGCCCAATGTGAATAAGGCCTTCAGTATCCACCTGGAATTTCAGCTTCCTATTCATTTCATTGTGTGCATTACTGCCTAATGTGCCACGTTTCCGGGTATTTTAATGTATTAAATCAGCTTGGGCCAGGCTAAAACCATGTTTTCCTTACAGGGAAAGACTGGATCTCTCTCTAGGATATGTAATTATCCTGGCCGAATGTGAATAAGGCCTTCAATATCTACCTGGAATTTCAGCTTCCTAGTAAAAACAGCCAAACATTAAAGCATCTGGAGTGAATCTAACTTAAAATGCAATTGAAAATATACCTCTGGCCCTTTATTTCACCTTGCAGATGATACTACATCAGAGAGTTATTCTGTCAGTTCATCACATAAGCTACTTATTTTTCAGATTCATCACTGTTTAACCAAAAGAAAGAATTATTCAGATTTTTTAAAAAAATGGTGGAATTCTCCTTTAAGTCAGTACACTAGATGGTGCTCTTATTAAGCCGAAGCAGAAAGGATTCATGAAGACCTGCAATACCTTATACACAATTTGAAAAGGATATTTTATTGTTTTATCATGGAAATATTGATCACATTTGGAAAATCATTCATTTATTCATTTTTTATGTAAAAAATGTTATATTTGTAATTGCAAACATTTAAAAACCCAATTTTGTATATTCTAAATTAGAAATGGGTCTTTATTATACACACAGTCCACCACCTACAATATCCAGCCAAGAGCTGCTCTGTGGTCAGGTCTGTGGAGCTAAAGTCTTTAGAAAGGTAGATCTGCAAGAACAGGGCTGGTGGCCACTGATTCAGACAAACCTCTGAAAAGCATTAGTTTTAGTTTTTTACATTTGCAATGATTTGAACATTTTGCAGTATTTAAATACATATAATAAAGATATTTAAACAAAACCCTTCTTTTATCCTTAAACAATTATTATAAATAAATTTCAGAACAATTGCTTTTAACTTTTTAAAATTGTATTATTTACCTTAAATAATGTTAAATCATTACTGTGATTAAAAGTTTCCTTCTGTTTAAATTGCTTTTTTGCAGAAAAAAGTCACTTAAGAGTGTTTTGCCATTCGGAGAAAAAAGCTCTGTTCTAGAGAAAACTGCTCAGATCTGCAGGAAGGTAGATCTCAAGGAAGAAGATTTAAAACATAATTGTGATAGGAACCAGAAGTCACAATGTCAACAACGCAAATGTAGACACTTTTACTGACTGATTTCTTTACAGTGGTTGTGATGTGTATACAAATAGGCCACATCAATGCTAACTAAATACAACTGAGTTATTTTATAAGTACAGAACATCATTTAGTTATCAACAGAATACAACACTTATTTTTCCTCACTTTTTTAAAAAGGGGGAATTTCACATATACTTCTAAACTACTGCATTTTTAACTGCATCAGACCAAAACCCTGCTACAACAACAATCAGCAACAGCTTCCAAAACCTTGTCATCAATCTTTAAAGTCCTTATCATCAGGCCTACGCATTGATGCTTCTAACCGTAATTTCCTGTCACCTGTGATACCATAAATTGTAGGTAAAAACAGATTTAGTTAGTTCCACCACAGAGGACATAAACAATGTATACTGTTAGGTGGTTCAACTTTTATGCACATCAATAAAAAACTGCTTTGAAAATTAGCTAAAACATTTTTTCTACCTACAACATATCAACTATAGGCTTTAGAAACATCATAACTGCATATCTTTCAACTTTTTACTTCTCTTGCACCCATAAAATGTGTCTTCTTGTTGTCATAACCTTAGTCTTCTTCATACTGAGCTGAAGTCTCATCTTTTCACTCTGTTCTTTAACCTTCCTTGTAAGGGCCTTCAGGTCTACCAGATTTTCTGCTGTGAGTGTTGTATCATCCGCATATTGTTTTGTAGTGTTGCAGATAAAATGTCTGCAACGTCGCTTAGTGTAATGAACTAATACACAGAGTTGGGCTAACCATGTTCAGCTACGAATTCCTTTGTAAGGCACCTGTACTGCCTTGAGATTGGTCACATCTCTCACTTTGGAGCTTTAGCATTATATTTTGGACCAAAACAATCTCAAAAAGAGAAACAGAGTCGTATCAGCTTCATTCTTATACAGACAAATGCTGGTTGTACAAAGAAGTTCTACTGCAGTTCCATAAGTTACTCTGTACTTAAAGGGGAACTCCATCAATTTTTAAAAAATTCTACATAATTAAATGGTTGAGATGTAAACAAAGTCATTCAGAGTGGTGTGATGTGAAATGCTCCGTTCGAAAGAAGCTTGCTGAGTCAGAGTTGTTCCCAGCGGTGGTGATAAGAGCCAGATGCCTGAAGAGTTTAATTCCTCTGAAAACTCCCTCACAGAAAGTTGTTACATGAAATGGTTAGATATATGCTATGTTTATGTAATTTTTGACCAAATACTTTAGTACTTCACCTCAAGTTGTATTTGAGGAAGCTACTTTTACTTGAGTCATTATGTTACCCAAGTATAAATACTTTCACTAGAGAATGGGATTAGGCTACTCTACCCACCTCTGATAATATGTAACATCTCACACAGGTTAAATTGAACTGGCTTTCACAAGTTCTTTCTCTACTCACCCCTATCATGTAGGTCAATGGCACCATCTAGCGGACATGGTGTGCAATAACAATAGCACAGCTGTACATTTTAATGTTTACTGAACAGTTTAAGCACTGCCTTTGTGTGTAAACAACTACTGAGGATGAATTGAGTGCGTTTATATGGTTTAAGATAATAAAAAACAAAGACAATGTTGTTGCAATGTTGTAACTTGGTAATAAACGCATTTTTTACATTTGGAACTGTACCAAAGTTCTTTATAACCAAGTCGTACAGAGGTAGTAAAAATGCCTTACGTTTTTTCTACATTTTTTAATAAGAATTAGAATTTGATATTAACACGCTGACGCCACATAAACCATGTATTTACGAGTAACTGTGAAGAAAACGCACATTCCCCAGTCCTCCATCACACGGCCATATTTGAGGAGGGAGACGCACTGCGCCTTTATCTGCGCCATATTTGTTTGGGGCAGCCGGCTTGTTCAGACTGACCCGTTGACGCGGTGCCAGCTGGATCAGTGTTATCTGGAACAACAAACAGAGTCTGCTGGGCTTATAAAAACCAAGACCTCATTTAGACTCGCTCCTTTCTGCACTGAAGGCTAGGCAGGATGGAAGTCCAGCTGAGCCGCTGTCACCTCGTAATCGCATGCTTTGTCTTGGCTGTGGCTTCGGTTCGGGCTTTAGATGATGGCTTAGATCGGCCACTAATCCCCGGGGCTCCGGTGCGCCTCTCGGTTACGGACCCGGAGCTCATGAAAGCGGTGAAATTTGCCGAGGAGCGGTATAATGTAGGATCCAACGGGCTGCACATACGCAGAGTCAGCAAAATAATAGCCGCTAGCAAACAGGTGAGGCTTGTTTTGGGCTTTTACGTAACGACAATACGTGAATTTATTTGTACTTGTTTCAGTTTCTTGAAAATCAGAAAATTATCTTACGTTTTAGTACATTTATGGAGACACTGCTGGTAATTTCGGCTTTTATTTATCTCGGTAAATCTTCAGGTCTGTGGCTTTTTCCGATGTAAACAAGGCACAGATTCGTGTGCAGCTCTGGGCCTGTGCGTTAGCCATTCACTGCCACAACATCTTCTTGGACGTTCAGGCTGCGTCCAGTTTGCGCAGTAGATGTACGTTTAACTATGCCAATGAGGCCCAGCTGCTTTGTTTTGAGGTCTGTCCCAAAATCTAAACATGTTTAAAGAAAAATCGTCGATTTTGTTTCTGCATAATTAGATCATTACAATGTGGAACAACATTGGTTTGTTGTTAAATGTGAAATGTGCTGTTGTAGAGAAACTTGACGAGTCAGAATTGTTCACAGTGGTGGTGATAGGAACCAGACGTCTGAGGCATTTAATGCCTCTAAAAGCTACCTTACAGAAAGGTATTACACTTAATGGTTAATAGCACGCATTCTGAGGCCTGAAATATTTTTCTTTACTGTAGTTTTTAGATAAAACTTTGCCCCAAAACATATTTTTTTAAATCAGTTCATGGCAGAATGGTACATGCAATGCGTTATAAGACAAAGTAGTCCCAAAAGCAAACTTATATATTGGATTTACCACTATATTCACCATCATCAGCATAACAAAGACACATGTACATTCACTGGTCTTTTTGAATAGAAAATAAAATTGTTACATTAGCATTAGATGTCGGTACATTTCTCTATAAGACACATATCAAAACACCCTGAATGACATCGTTTACATCTCAACCATTAAAGGTCCACATTCAACACTGTGGTGATGTTCAAGTTTTCAGTATCACAGTAGCATTCAGTTCAACACATATGTCCCTCTGGAATCAAATAATGTATCATTATTTTTGTCTTCCTGTTTTGTGTGATTGTGTTTTGAACAGCTGGTGAAGGGAGTGCGATACAGCATCACAGTAGAGATTGGGCGAACTCAGTGCAAGAAGTCTGAAGTTCTGGACATTTCTGAGGCCTGTGAGTTCTTCCCAGAGTCACACAAACAGAAGGTGAGCATCATGGCCATTCAGGGTCAGTTGAAAATGGGATAAATTGAAGGGAGGGCATATGGACACTAGGGGTGGGCAATGTAACAATATTTTATCGTTATTGTGATACATTACGCTACAATATAGCATAGTGGATATTGTTGGTATTTAAAGAACGTTCACCTTCTGCATGTTTCATCACAGGGAGAGCATAATTAGTCCTGTTTAATTTTATTTAGTGCAATGAAGCATATGAAACATTGGTCAGAAAACACTGTGTTTAGTTTTTCATATTTTTTAAGGTAGCATTAGTGGTTCTGATTTGTTTCAGTTCCATCTTGTAATCTTATTATAAAGTTATTAATGTTAAGATTTAGTATTCAGTAACTACTGTGTACTATTTGGTAACTGTTATGAAGCTAATTTGTAAGGTATATAGTCATGAGAGTAGAAACTGAAATATTGGCCACATACAGGCATTTATACTTGAGGCAGTAGTTCTCAAACTGGTTCTCAGGGACCCCCCGAACAGTACGTTTCTGCTCTATCCCTGAGTGATCGGAGTGGGCTAGAGCAAAAACGTGGACTGTCCGGGGGTCCCTGAGGACGTGTTTGTGAACCACTGGTTTGAGTTACAGTTAGGGATTATAATGCTAGATAAATAACTAATTTCTTTAAAAAGTAATTATAGTTATATCCTAACAGTAAATAATTAATCAGTTGAAAGAGACTGAAATTTGCCTGCTTTCAGTAATGGGGGTGTGCATTTTACCCTCTATTCTCTCCAAGCGCGACACACAGTCTTTATTTAACCGGTGAAACCTATAATCTCTGACACATAACACACATTACACAATGTCGTGCAGCTATGAACATTGCCATCGTTGACCGCACAGCTGGTTGTGAAGCTGTGATTAAAATTTGCTGTTCATGGCTGTTCTTTGTTTGTCTTTAAACAGCCTTGATAGAGACCAGAATCCCTGCACCTCCCCACACTCATCATGGACTCATCACAGGATCTTGTGATGAATATTTTAGGCTCATGACTCTCCAGTGCATAATCCCACTAGATCCGTTTCTGTTCTGTGTGTTGGGTCATGTGAATTTCATGTGTACAGCAGAGATATTTTTTCATTATTTCTCTCTCTTTCTCAGACGGAGGTTTGTTTGTTTGAGGTTTGGGACATTCCCTGGCAGAACAAGTCCACTCTGCTCAAACAGAAATGTCAGCCTGCAGGTCAGTGCTCTCCCAGAACACACATACAGGGTATGAACCCTTTAAAGCAGCCACAAAAATGAGGCTATTTCTGCCAATTAAAGCTGCCTTATGTGTGATTTTTCTAAAATCATAGAAGTAGCATTACTGATTCGGACAAAAAGCACACTAAAATATGATGCATGTTATGTTGCGAGTCGCCCTATAAAGCCTAAGATAATGTAAAAGTTGGAGGTGTCGGATCAAATTTTGTGGGAATTTTTCAAACAACGTCATACATCTTTACATATTAATGTCATATGCACAGACTCAAAAAGAAGGTCCGACTTGATGATTAGGTCTCAAACACAAAATCAACATAATACTGATAAAGATATGATGACAATAGTAGATAATTTGCTCACATCCATTTTTCACCAAGTTTTGACCGAAGTCTCTTTTAGTTCTCTTTCAACATGCTCACAATTTTACCAGAGAGGTCGCCAAGTCTTACCTAGTTTAGCTTTAATCCACTCTCCTCTGTTAACGTGATTCTTAATGATATTATTGCATTAATTTGACATGTACTGAACATCTAACAAAGCTGAAAATCTTTGCTTTTTAATGTAGTTTGACGAGCTGTACAAGAAGACTTATTAATAGGAATATCATCATAAGTCACACATCAGTCATGTTTTATCAGGTTTATATAAACAAAACCAAACAATAATGAGCTCTTACCGATCTGAACTGTGCTGTGAATAAGCTCATGCACTCAAACACAACACAATGCATTCAACAGTAAACAAAGCCTTGTGCATCTTTTATACAGTGATAGAAAACATGGTAGAACACAGAAAATGACTGTTCTGTACGCTGATGCATTTCACTTGGCCAGCGTAGACATGTACGTGCTGTAACTCCTCAGGCAGCAGATTCAAACAAGGTAAAGAGGTCAAGGTCAAATTCTGAGAATGGATCTCCAGCGAGGCGCTTGGTTCAATAGGGTTAAATGATAAAACAGTGGAAAGTAGGGTGCTCAACAGCACATAGTACTAAAATTCCACACTTGAAAACACTTGATCTAAAGGTGTACATCATTTCTGCATGAATGAAATATGAAATCTACTCAATTAGTGCCAAAAGTACGTTTAAGAAAGATAAAGTAGAGTCAAGTGAATTTAGCTCTTTTTCAGTGTACAGACTTTTTATGAATTATTTTATGAATTGATTGAAACTAATAATAAGATCAGACACAAAGGCTGTATACTCCAAGCTGTAGGTAATGATTATTAGTTGACTCTGTATGCCACCTCACTGGTATCTGCTTCATTTCTCAGTTCCAAAGGAGACCCCAAAGATTGTGCGTATTCCTCTATCGAAAGACAAGCCCACCAAGGTAAAGTATACTTCAGCATGCATATATGTGTAATAACAAATGCTTATGCAGCTAATGTGTTTCTCAGCTATACTCTGTAAGACTGTTGGTCTTCTTCAGGAATCTCTGGAGCTTCTGACAAAGTTCAAGGACTTCATGGTCAAATACAATCGCACATATAGCTCTCAGGAAGGTAATGGACATTAATACTGTTTTAATGCTACACTTATTGTGTTCACTCCTTTGATCTAGTCATGAAACATGTGATACTGCTTTAGAGTAATGGTAATACTGTACATGTTCATTCAAAATGAAAGCTGATGTTTAATAGAGTAGTTGTGTGAAATTTGATTTTCTGAAGACCAGCCAAGACATGTTTAGAGTCCAAATTGTGCTAGAGATGCTAACAAACACTAGAACTCAGTAGTCACCCAAATAGCCCAAATAGTTTCTGTAAAAATACATAAAAATTCAACCCGCTCAAACTGCTTGACTTTAGGACCTAGTATGACTTTAAACTATAAAATTTAACAAAACTTCACTGGTAGAGCCAGCCATTTCAGACAACACTCAGGCTGATATTCACAAAGCATTCGTAAGTAAGAGGAGTGGGTCAGACTCAGTATTTATGATGGTCATTATTACAAAAACTGATTCTAGGTCAGCACTCCTACTCCTGAGGTGTTTTTTGAATACGGACCCTGTTTAAAAAGGCTGCCCAAAGCATTTAGCTGCACGGTGAGGTTTTGTAGTTTACAGTACATCACACTGTGTCTTAAAACTCAACGACAGGCCTGTATGACCTCAGTTAAGAATCTGGATTGATAGGAAGTTTTGGTGATGCGTTAGCGCAGAAATTATTGGGTGACAATTGAATTCTTGTGGTTTTTAGCAATGTAACTTCAATTCTGAAATAAAGCAAAATTTGGACTCTAGACATGTTTTGGCTGATTGAATACATCTGGGGTGAGTCAAACTAAGTTTAAGTTCTTAAATGACTTTTTGAACCCTGCAGAGGCTGAGAAGAGGCTGCGTATTTTCCAGCAGAATCTGAAAACAGCAGAAACCCTGCAGTCTCTGGACCAGGGCACAGCTGAGTATGGCGTTACCAAGTTCAGCGACCTCACAGGTGTGTGTGTGTGAGTTTGTATTGACCCATAGGCACTGGTGATAATTGTGCACTCTTAAAGTGATTCTTTGGAGAAAAACAAAGAGAAGAACCACTTGTTGTAAATGAGATGTGTGAGTGTAAAGCTTTATTATGCTTAACGAACCTCCACATAATGTAAAGCTTCTACAAATACCAATTAAAGTTCTTTTTTCCTAGAACTGTATGTCCAAGCTAAGAACCATTTAGGAACCTTTATTTTTAAGTGTGTATATTAAAAACTGTTGTGTTATAAAAAAGTTAAAAACTTGTTGCCCAATAAATTGTCACTTGTTTTGAAGGCCATCTTGTATGTGGCTTCTTGGCAGCCCTGCCCTGTGCCTCATTCAAAAAGCTGAAGCTAAAGTCTAAGCTAAAACACTCTTTAGAACTTCGGTGTGATTGGGTGGGGCTAAACTGCAGTAGGGTGAATAAGAAGATATATGTAAATCGTTTGATTTTTCATGACATCACAGAAAAACGGGCTGTTTTTGCAGCTTAGTTTCCATGTATGGGTCGTATGAACTGAGGACAGAAGAATAATATGTTTTGAAAACAGTGTTTACATACTGTATTTCTTTTATTCCAAAAAAGTGAGGAAAATTAGTTTTTCCATGATATTAATTATAATTCTTACATTTTAAGCACAATTTAGTCATTTTTCTATATACATGCAGTACATATTCTGAACTCTCTCTCTCTCTCTCTGCCACTCTCTCTCTCTCTCTTGCTGTCCATTTAGAGGACGAGTTTAGAATGATGTACCTGAACCCCATGCTGAGCCAGTGGAGCCTGCAGAAAAAGATGAAGCCTGCGGCCCCAGCCAGCAAGGCAGCCCCAGAGAGCTGGGACTGGAGAGAGCACGGAGCTGTCAGCCCTGTCAAGAACCAGGTCAGGAACATGAATCAACCTGAGGGATTCATTTTTACTGGACGGAGCAGTGGAGACAAAAGTTTGAATTATGAATCAGCTGATGAATCACTTGGTACCTAGATTTAAATAAATGAATCCATAGCCATGTCAGAATTTGCCGCTACTCTGCCCTGGTGGCTCCTACAGTGGAAATGTGGCTCACATCTATACTTCATTAAAAATAGAATATGAATTAATCACTCAGTGGGTTGATACAGACCGAGTTCTGCAGTCTAATCTAAGGCTGACTAAAGTGAATGATGTGCATGTTTCAGGGGATGTGTGGCTCCTGCTGGGCATTCTCTGTCACTGGAAACATTGAAGGCCAGTGGTTCAAAAAGACTGGACAACTGCTGTCCCTCTCAGAGCAAGGTGGGCAGCAAAATGAGAAGGCTTATTGAAAGAAGTCAATAAAACAGTTGCCTTTTTTCTTCACTTGTGTTATTATTAGTTTATCCTGTATATTTTATACTGTGCTGTAGTCATTTACATATGTTTCTCCTACAGAGCTAGTGGACTGCGATAAGCTGGACCAAGCTTGTGGAGGTGGACTTCCATCCAATGCCTATGAAGCTATTGAAACCCTTGGTAAGAAATTGACTGAAATTGACTGCTGGGACAAATACTATACTGTTGGGTAATTTACCACAGCATGTCTAAGAAAAACATTCAGAAATAAATAAAATAACACCCAGTCTTTATTTCTGTGATGTAATATACCCCCAAAAACTAAAAAGAGAAGGCTGTGCAGTGAATTTCAAAAGTAGACTAGATTATAAAAATGAAACCTAATTAAAAAGAATTACTAAAAATAAAGAAAAATGATCTCAACAGGTTAAATCGTTGAGACAAACATACTTAACCTCACATGTAGAGGCTTAACTAAGGCAAAATTTTAAAGAAAGAAAATCAACAGGCTAATAAAAGAATAGAGAGAGCGAGAGAGAGAAGGGTGGGAGGTGAGAGCACCCACAGGTGTCTTCCCCATTTAACGAAGACTTGATAAAAGCAGTTATGCCATCATTTCAAATTATATGTAGATTAGACAATCTACATATACTAATGATTAATCGTAACAAATTAAAACTGTTATAATGCAGAATTGGATTTGTTCACAAGCATCACTTAACACTGTGTCATTAGTGAGATACAGTTAACAAAGTTAGAGTCCCTCATGCGCATTTTAATGACATCAGCAAGAGGTGCTCACATTTAGACCTGAGGCCTTGAAAGTTCCTGATCGGTCATCTTTCACCCAGTTCTATAATGATGGAAATACCCAGTTCTAGCTCCTACCACCGCCATGTCTCATAGGATAGAATGGAGATAGACATAAACGAGTCATTATGTCAAAGCGTCCTTCTCAAGGAACATACCACAAACCTCACAGAGACACAAAGGGTGAAGAAGTATATTCCTAGGAATAAGAAATAATTAGAATAAATATTCTATAATAACAAGATGCAAATTTGCTTATAGGAGATAATCTGTATCCCTTCACTTCCCCTTCAAGACAAAGTGGGATCAACTCTCATGAACAGTGTCTCAAAACAGCATGCAAATGTCCAGGACCAGTGCCCCTAATGAGCAAAACCCACAGCAACAGAAACACTGGACTCTGATGCTACACTAAGCTTCTGTTGAATTGGACAGCTAGAAGGGGCACATTTGAAAACATCAGCATGAGTCCTTAAATCTTGTGAAGTCTCTGAAAAGACGAAAAAATATTGGTGACTTCTAGTCATCTGGCCTGCATGCAACTTTAAGCCATGTAGAACAGGCATGCGTAGGCCACACTGAGAAGTCACCAGTATGTCACTCAGACTGTTTGTTGTCTTGCAAGTCCTTCAACAGGAACACTCTGAACATCACGGCTCCTCAGACGCACAAAACATCCTTCAAGGTCTGATGAATGGTCATCGTGACACTACAGTACTACAAATAAATCAGGTCCAAGCCCTGAAACAGGAAAAGCATAGAATAGACTTAATTTGCATATGATTATGCATGATTAAACATGATTAGCTGTGCCTGAATTGATTATTACAATTAAGATTACTATAATATATGAATTTGCATAAAAGGAAAGGATAGGTAAGTGAGGGGAATCTCCAGTTACTCCCTTCAATGCTCTTTGTAGTCTAATTCTAAGAAGCTGAATTGTTTTGCCTTAATAATCTAATAATCTGTTTTGATGTCTTCTCAGGAGGTCTGGAGGCAGAGACAGACTACAGCTACACTGGACACAAGCAGAGGTGTGACTTCTCCGCTGGGAAGGTGGTGGCTTACATCAACAGCTCAGTAGAACTGCCGAAGGAGGAGAATGGTGAGAAAGAAAGTGGACAGTGGGGCTAGCACAGTCGATTTATGAGTAATCAAGTAATCTGCTGATTGTTTTGACAATAACTGAGTAACCTGAGTTTTTAAAAAAAGCTAAAGAACAACCAGTCAAAGATACTAAAATACCATATTGATAAAAGATGGTAGAAGTCTATAAAGCTTAATTAAAAATAAAAAATAACATTATGAGGCAAAAAATGTAATCATTGTGTAACAAAGCAGGCATATAGGTTGGCTGCAAGAGCGAAATTTGGGGCAGACTCAAATACTCAAAATCCATACAGGTAGGAGTTAAATCAGGCAGGCTGTTTCAGAGACGTATCTATGATCAAAAAAACAGAAAGAGAAGCAGCGGTCAAAACACAGAAACAAAAACAGGGAAAACCGACTAGGACTCAGGTTAGCAATACAGAGACTTCACAACAAACAGGTCAAACAAAAGGGGTATATATTTGAGTCTTACGTGTCTGGGGAAATAAGCTGCAGGTGTGTGTAGTGGAGGTGAGTCGGTGGAGCCAGGTAGTGTCCAAGCAGAGTCTCCCCAGAGTCACATTGCATGTTTGCCAAGAAAATAATGTTTTTTTGATTAATTAGTTCAGTCAAGTAATTCAGTCAAGTAATTGTGACAGCCCTACAAATGTGCATTTTAAAGTGCACTGTGTAAATTTTGCAATAACCACCAACAAATTGTTAATTGATGAAAAATATAGTTTATTTGCAGATATGATAGGCCATTGGAAAAGACAGTTGCACAGTAGTTACAATGTGGGACTTCTCTGTTCACTGGCATGAGCTCATTTGAGCCTTTATACAGTTCAGATTAGGGCTGTCCATATTAATTATATTATTTATTGAGTAATGTACCATTTATTTAGCTGAATTAGGGAGAAATCTGTTTTATAAAGCCAAGCAACACAAATTGGCATAACTGAACAATAATAAACCATTCACAGCACTGAGTCTAATGTCTAATGTGTAACAATAGCAAGCATATTTTACCCGCCTGCCTTACATTTTTAATGATGATTATTGACTTTCAGTATAGAACAAGAATAACTCCAGTAAACTGAAATCTAACCTCCTTATGATGTGTGTGTTCAGATATTGCTGCGTGGCTGGTTGAGAATGGCCCTGTATCTGCTGCCCTCAATGCTTTTGCCATGCAGGTAATCAGTTCCTCCTGAAGGTCCTCACTTCTCTGTGTCATTCTAGGAGCACAAACACTTTAAATTAGATTTTAAATGTTATTATAAATATAACTTCAGAGAGGTAAAATTATATTGCCATGGTTGTATGCAAAAGTTGGAACAGCCCTAGTCAAATGATGTTTTTTGTTGATTTTCTAATTAAAAATAATTTAATACATTCTTCACAGGGACCAAACTTAAATAGAACAATTTTTAAACATTTTTCTGTAGAAGTTCTGTTTATCTGCTAAGTTGAACATATTTGGGGAAAAATAAAACATAAAATGTGACTTGTGCAAAAGTTATGGCCCATTTTATGTTTTATTTTTTCCTCCAATATGTTAAACTCACCAGATAAGCCAAAATTGTACACAAAAGCATTTTTTATTTGATAGTCTTTTCATATGTTCAGCAAATAAACAGTAATGGTGCATTAAAATGTGCAGAAATGTGTTCTCTGTAGAGGACGTGTGAACATATTGTCACTTAGAAAATCAATAAAATGTAATCTAACCAAGGGTGCTCAAACTTTTGCATATAACTGTACTGGCCTGTGTTACTGTGGCCAGAGTTTCAGGATACAGATCATGAAATGCAATGGATTTCCAACTAATGGAGACCTAAACTATGTCCAGAAAAGTGTCCTTTTTTCTAAATATCACGTTTTGCAGTTTGGATCAAAGTCTGTCTGATGTTTACTCAGTACACTCACTTCTCTCTGTGGCCATGTTATACTTTTGGATTTTGGCCTCGGGACTGACATAAATCCTGAAATTCTGTTACTTCATTGGCTGTTCCAGTGATGTAATTTAATCCAGAAGCCAACATCTAGTTGGATGGCTTTGGAAAAAGTGCTGCTTCTCATGACTTTTTATTCATAAAAGGTGATAGAATCTTCTCTCTTACTCTTTTGTCTGTCTTTGCCTCTGTGCCTCTGCAGTTCTACAGAAAAGGAATCTCTCACCCTCTGAAGATCTTCTGTAACCCCTGGATGATTGATCACGCAGTGCTGCTTGTTGGATATGGAGAACGTGAGAGTTATTCTATTTTGCTAAAGTTAACATATAACAAAAACATGGGTGCCCCTAATGGGAAAAAAAGTCAACACATCCTCCAAAGAGAACACACTTTTGCACATTTTATTGCACATTCACTGTTTAATTGCTGAATTTAACATATTGCACAAAAATAAAGGAAGAAATGTGGCCTTGCGGAAAAATATTGAACATTTTATATTATTATAGTATATATTATATTTCATATTTTATTTTTTCCCAATATGTTAATACATAGAAGTTGTGGAGTACAATTTGCAGAAAAATGCCATATGTAAGTTTGTTTGCTGTAGAGGATGTGATAACTTACTTGCACTTAGAACTTTATAACCTTTTTAACATTATTATGACATTATAACCTTTTTATCCATGCTTTAATAAAGTTCCAATTAATGTGGTTGATCCATGACATTACATGGCAGTTCTACTTGGTGCGCATAGCATATGATAGCAAATGAAAAAACAGTGTTCTTCATGTTCTCCTGAGATGTTAATTCTACATGGAAAAAAAAATCTTAAATTTTAGAGAAAGTTCATTTAAAAAGATCTTTTTTTTTTATTTTATTCTTATTTTAGGTCTTTTCTGTTGGTCCATTTATCATGAAGTGTTCTCACAATGTAAAGTACAGTTTGCATTTTCAGATTGTTACTGTGATACGACTGAGATATTTCAATAGACGGACCTTCCAGTTTTGAGATTCCTCCTGATTAGCACCAGTTTCAGTGGGCCTTTAAAATATTATACAGTAATTTATATGGGTGCTGTTTGTATTTTCTTATCCTCAGGACATTAGGAGACTGAAACAAACTGCAATTTTGTACATCTCACAACTACTTACATTTTTATAGCTGTGGGATGTTCAAACACGCAGGCTTCTTGCCAAACATGATTTGTGTTGTAACTGTGATTACGGGTCCTCAAACCATCTGCTTGTGTAATAGTAAGAGTTTAGAAACGTACTTTGAGGGATCTTCGGCTGTCTTGTAGGGTTTTCCATTGCGTAACCTGTTGAAAGGTGATCTGTGACCTGCTTCTTGCAGTTGTCTTGTTGTTTTCATGTCTATTCAGCAGATATTAGTAAACAATAACCTGTCTGGTATATTAAAGTACATTATTAAAGCTTTTTTAACGTTGACGTTTCTCTGTGCTTCTACACAGTTAATGGCATTCCATTCTGGGCCATTAAGAACAGCTGGGGAGAAGATTATGGTGAGCAGGTGAGTCGGGCCTGTCCAGTCTTGATTTGAACGTATATAGCTCTACTGTTGAGTTAGCGAATGCTTGATCAGTGGTTAAATATTGCAGGGCAACTTTTTCTTCTTTAATATTTGTTCAAAGGATATATAAATAACAACTTTTGTTTCCTCTGCTTTTCCTCAGGGTTACTACTACCTGTTCAGAGGATCCGGACTGTGCGGAATTAATAAGATGTGTTCATCCGCAAAAGTTAACTAGGAGCGCACACAAACACAAATCAGGAGCATGGTCATTCTACGCAAAGACAGTACTAGTGTGACCTTATGCACACCTACAAACACACAAAAACAAACCATTCATATGTAATAAGCATCATCGGGGTGTTGTTCTCACTAGCTCAAGCTGTGACTTGTAAAGTATTCATCTCTAGGGCATGCTATAGAAGAAGGATTATCAGTCCTCTTTTCAGTTTAAAAAAAGTGTCAATAGGTATTTTCCACAGGCGATTTCAACCCTGGCTGACTCGCCCAGACTGAAATTGTCCTTTCTGACCACGCCACCATAGCAAGTCCTCACCCTCCTGCTTTTGTTAAGCTAATATTGGATATGCAGCATTCTAGGCTCTGTAATGTGGGAAAAAACATCATTTTTTTAATGTTAAGTGCTCACAACTCCTCATCTTAGATCAGTTTAGGGCTGTCACTGTTGATTATGTTAGTAAACAAGTAAACTATTGATTATTTTGATGAACAATTGAGGAAACTTAGCAATAGTAAACAGTGCAAATTGCAGATTCCAGAATGATTAATTGGACAAAGATTAACAAGACTAGAAAATATAAAATGACTGTGTAACAGAAAATGAATATACATTGGTGCAATTCTTGAGCTACTAGGTCAATTTAAAACATGCATGATCATCATACAAAATATATTGTAATCAGTGAGTAATCAAGTTTAACTGGGTTATCCTGACAGCTCTGGATTAGTTGTGATTTTTTTTTAATCATGAACTGGTCAGGGTGATTTAGGTGTGGGTAGCAGGTCTTATAACAACACTAAAACATACCTGTCCCTGGGTTTTTTTGCAGTAAGCACATGTGCTGAGAGGTAGTTGGTTGTTTCAAACAGGGGACCAGCAGATACCAAGTGGCAGAGAGGGATGCAGCATCATTACCTCTTATAACTTCATTTCCGTTAATGCATACCATGCAACACGCTTAACTACATTAAGTCAGTTTCTGTGACAAGATGCTTCAGATAATTAGATTAGTTCTTTAGTCTGGTGTTTTATCGTGTTATTATATTAATTGTGTGGACTAACTTTTAAACTAATATTTAAATAATATTTTCGGGAAGGAATGCTGTGACATAATTAATATTTGCTCTGAGTTTTATGAAGAAAGCTCTGGGTGAAGTAGATTTCCGTTTTTGTTGTGTCATAACTGGACAAACTGGACACATTGGACTGCGTAGTGCTACTGATTCTGGAAGCTGCTCAGCAGATACTTGTGATTGATGAATGCTTTTTCATTTTGTTAGAAATTAATACCGATGGTAATCAATTCATTGATATATTCCTGTGCTCCAAGTGTTTTCTAATCACTTTTAAATGATTGAGAAATAGTAATGTGATGTTTTAAGGTATGGGCTGAATGTTACAGGCGAGTGTATTTGCTGGATTTTTTCATGATAACGTGTTTGAAGATAAATTAGGGACTAACAGCACTGCTGTGCCTCTAAAGTGCACATAAAACGACAAATATGTTCATGACTCATCACCACACAATAAATACAGCATCATAATAACTATTTAATTTGTTATCAAATATGTATTTTTGAAAGGTTTGCAGATAATTGCTGTATCTTGCCTGGTTTCAATGGCTGACAAGCATGGTGTTCATAAATGTTCTGGAAAGCTGCTGAATAAAGTCCCAAACTTCCCAAATGTTTGTGCTGTATTTGTCTGTACTGTCACAGTACAGCTCTCCACATTTACATTCAAGGGGAATTGCACCAGTTTTTCAAAACATCTGCATAATTCAAATATGAAGATGTAAACAAAGTTATTCAGAGTGCTTTGACACAAAATACAGAGTTGAAGAGAAACTTACTGAGTCAGAATTGTTCACAGTGGTGGTGATAGGAACTGGACGTCTGAAGTGTCTAATGCCTCTAAAAGCTACATCACAGAAAGCTAGGACAAAATGGTTGCTTGTTGTCTGAGACATTGTTTAGCGCTGAGATAAGGGTTTGACATAAAACTATTTTAAAAAATGGAGGAAAGGTACATACAGGGTGTTGTAAGAAAACATTTTTTTGATTTACTAGTATTTTGCCATTATCAACACCACATATAACGTCAGAAGACGTGTGTAGGCGTAACTGGTTGTTTTGGATGGGAAATAAAGTTATGTGGTGCAGATCCCTGGTTTCTAGTAAAAAACGTTGGTAATTTTCTCTACAATGAACCATTTCTCACAGAACAATTCTGTATGACTTACATCTCAATTAAACATTTACAAATGGTTCGATTCAATTTATACATTGAATTACGCAGAACATTTGAAAGGTCTGTGTAATTCCACTTTAAAGCTGACCAGTGAATGATGAAATGACGTTTTACTTTGAGCTCTCAGTTTGACTACATTACCCACAATGCTAATGCATATGACAAACAGAAGCTACCGGAAATAAGCAGCACATGCGTTCGACGCATTCAGGAGCTACACTACGTGCGAAATTCTTCTCGATGCACCTAGTAAAAAAAACCAGAATAAGCCCACATTTATATATACATTTTCTCGGTAGGTACATTTTAAAATGCAGACTTTATGATGTGAAAGAACTCATATTAAGTTGGTTGTTTGCTTATATTGGTGCTAGCTAGTCGGCTAACCAACAGTTAGCAGTTCTAGCAAACTCTGTAGCATTAGTTAGCTGTCTGAACTCTCTCTGTGCACGTCAGACTGAGCTGCAGTGTTATGTTATAACTGTTTATTAAATATTCCTTCATATAGATTTTAGCTCCTGTCAGAGTCTGTGGCAGTTCTTTTTCACAGTGAAAGCGCTGTAGGTTCTGTTAGCTGTGTTCTCTGCGTTAGTGTAGAACAGACCAGAAAGTACACACTTTAAAAAGACGGTTCTTCAAGAGTTCTTTAGTAAAGACAAAGTTTCTGTTTAGAAAAATGACTTCTATTTAGAGTCATTTCATGCTTAAATGCTTCAGATTGTTGGTGAATATGTGGTATATGGTTATATATAGAGACTTTTTGATGAAAGTTCTGTATAGCTATATAGCACCAAAAAGGTTATTTTATTGTTACAAGCTTGATATTGTACCAATATCAGAACCCTTTTTGGTGCTATATAGAGCTGTTTTAAAAAACTTATGTATACAACCATTACAACGCATCTCCATCGATCTGAAGAAGCATTTAAGCTTGAAATGGCTCTGTAAAGAACTCTGGTTCTAAATAGAAACATTGTCTTTACTGAAAAACCCTTGAAGAACCATTTTTCTAAAGTGTGTGGTTATTAGTGAACCTATATTTTTTTTCTGTGTTTTGTGAGTTTTAGAGAAGCCAACTTCCCTAAAGAACCAGCTGTGGACCAGGTTTATTTATGTCTAAGCAAATCATTTTAGTGGGACGAACATAGCCGAGGGCGACCATATTCGCTTGAAGATTTCTGCTGATTTGCAGGCATACCTAAATAAAAGCGGGCTAGAGATGTTTTTTAATGATTATTTGTGAATGATTGCATAAAAATATCAGAAGATGAATAAACCAGATACTGGGTATCAGAGGTGGGTAGAAACTAGTTACAATAACTCAGTTACAGTTAGTTTTGAAATTTTAATTATTTGTACTTTTCTGGGTATTTTTAAATAGTAGTATTTGTACTTTTAAATTAGTGAGGTAAAGAATATACTTCTTACTCACATTTTATTTATTAGTTAGTTCATTTTTCTGTTTAATTTGACTATTTTGTAGTTCACAGCATCTGTACTGCTATTTGTGACTTACTTAACTTTAAAGCATTATTTTATTTTAAATCAGGAGAGAAAAATAGTGCTTAAAAGACCCACATCCTACATTTTTCTTTTTCTTTATTTTGCCTTTATTTAGTGTTTTTACCTTATCGAGGTCCACTTTTAATATTTTTATGGGTTTACGTAAAAAAAAAGTATTCCAGACTGAAAACACTCTTCATAACTTCAGTATGAATGGGGCAGGGGTAATCAGGCTTTCATGACATCGCAAAGTCAACGAAGTCAAAGTGTGCTGTTCTTACACCAAAGTAACTAGACTCACTTCTGCCAAACGGAAACTTCATTGGGTACTTGTTTATGAAACGATGCATAGCAACAGCAGCATAGAGAATACTGTGTTTTTCTCAACTTATTACATGTGCTTTGGCTTTATACTAAATACTGAAGAACTGTTGCCCAAATGTTGGCTCATTTTTGCCTAAATCATGTCATTCTCACAGAAAGTGGATATTACAGAGCTCAATATCAAAAATGTCCCGGGCAACTAAGCGCAAACATGTGGTTAAGGAAGTTCTTGAAGACTACGTCACACCCAGCGAGAGCCAGCAGATCATGAGGGTGAGCTAAAGATAGGTTTATTTGCAGTTTAGAATAAATATGTAATAAATTAATAAAGCTCCGATGACATGGAACTTTCATGAAGGTGAAGATCATCTACAGCTATTAAACCTCTCTATCTTCCAGATCTTGGGAAGCAATGGCAATAACCTCCATGAGGCTGTAACTGAGAGCGGTGAGAAATTTCTGCTGAGTATGCCCACAAAGTTCCGCAAGAACATCTGGATCAAAAGAGGTGGGCTTAAAATCCTGGCTCCTTTACATGTGTTTTGTTGATGTATGTGAATTTGATTTATTCACCACTATTTCTTCTCCTCTGTCAGGGGACTTTGTGATCGTGGACCCTATTGAAGAGGGAGACAAGGTGAAAGGAGAGATCAGCTTCATACTGTATAGGGACCACGTCCAGTACCTGAGGAAACTTGGTGTCTGGTGAGAAAAGAACCACCTTTGAGATGTTGATGAAATTCATTTCGTGTTCAGTGCTGCATTAGATTTTTTCGAGATTTCGGTATAGACATTGTTAATTTATGGGAGTTCTTGATCTTTTTATTTTTTTTCAGTTGAGAAAAACAGTGTATACATAATATGTGTTGCTGTCGCTATGCAGTGCTTTGAGCATTATACTAAATAGTGTAATATGTTATGCAGGCCAAAAGGATTTGAGGCGGGTGGCGAGTTTGAGGAGAGAAAGGAGGGACCACAGAACGGACAGGGAGAGGACAAAGAGAGGGAGCAGGAAGAAGAGTGCGACAGCAGTGACTCTGAGGATGACGGTGACCTTTTTGTGAACACAAACCGAGCCACTGTTCACTATAGTGAGAGCGATGAAGACTCTGATGAAGATGATGATGAAGAGGAGGAGGAAGAAGAAGAAGAGGAAGGACCAGAGAATCATTAGGTATGAAATTCTGGACATTAAAATAAGGGATGCTGTGAACAGCTTTAAAAAAGTTGCACCAGATGCCAACTTTGGTTCAGTTCTTTGCTTTGTGGACACTCATTATGTAAAAAAAGGAAAAGCAAACAAACAAATGCACTATGCAGTTTCTTAAGCCCTTATTAAAGCTGAACCTTGACTAAAAAGGATTTCAGTGCATGAATCACCACTGGCATTGAAATTTGTTAGGTTCTGTACATATTTCAGAGGCTTGACACCTGAAATATTCCTTTCTATCATTAAAATTGATTAGACTGATTTGAGAAAAGCTTCTTCCTGTAATGATTCAGGGTGAAATACAGATCTTACCACAGCAGCATGATTCATAATGTATAGAACATTTCAAGCTGATTCCTCGTGTTGACAGGAATGCTTTATTTGTATCATAATTTATGTACATATGGCAATAAAGTTTTCTCCTTGTTTTGTATGCCTGTGTAATTGAGCTTTTTCTGTATACATAGAATGGTTATATATATAGTATTTCCTTCAGATATTACAGGCTATTGCCATATATGTCTGGCATGTATCAAATGTATCACTCCTAAAATTTCTTAAACCGATTGAAGGGGTCTAGAAGGATTAACCTGGTCTAGATGAAGACAAAAAATATCCCCTTTGGACCTTTCCCAAACCAGTTTAATGCAAAAAATATTTCACAGTGAACGTTTATGGAAACGGAAACAATAACAATACATACTTGGCTTGTGGTTGAGTTGTGATGCACCTGTTTTGGGACCAAATGTTTTGCATAAGAATACATAAACCAAGAATAGATATTTTTACATATATACATACAATAATATACAAAATATATATATATATATATATATATATTAAATTTATCTGAAATGGGATTGTCCATCAACTTCAAGCCTGTGAAAATGCAGTAAAATTGCAGAAATGCCCGGTTTTCGAATGTCTAGTTCGTAAGTCTTAACATTTTCTTCATGACTTTTTTTTGGACACCTTCACAACTTACATTCATTGATCGGATCAGTTCTGTGCACAGTTCTAGCTTGAGACTTGTACTCAATAAAGTCCTCTAACTGATGATGATTAAGGGTGGCTGATATAGCAAAAAAATATATATAAAAATATTAACTTCAAGATGCACGTGTAGTTCAGTGAGGTTTGATAAGTTTGAACAGAAAAATTATCCAGTAGTGCCATATTTAAAAAAAGTCAAATACAATGAATACAATGACTTTTATTTAGTGTTCTGCATACTGCAGTACACTGAAACCAAATAACCATGACTAATGATGCTGTCTTCATAATTTAATATGCAGCTGTTCTTTAAGTAAGCATATTTGACATTTTATAGGATGCTGATAAATGTCATATTGCCCACCCTTAATGATAATCATATTCAATAACATATACATTGATTTCTGTGGCCAAATGTTTGTTTTCAAATGTAAACATCCAACCAAAAAGCATAGTGTTTTGTATTTATTGTCTGTATTAAACTACTGTATAAACAGATTCTCCGCCTACATTTGAGTATTCAGAATGTTTTTAAAAATAATACTGAATCGTACCAAAGTAAGCTGAACAGATTGTGGTGAAATCTGAGATTTCATTATGTACGGAATCATTTCATAAACAGTCAGTATAAAATGGAATTGTGAGGTGAGAGAGTTACACGCCTACTAGAGACTGACATGACTTTCATAAATAGACATCTCTATATATGACTGCATAGTGGAGGCCCATAAAGAAGGCTATATAGAATCTAAATGGTCTATACATGAAATATATATTAATATCATTTATATTTTAAGAAACTGAAAAAATACTGTTAACAAGACAGTTCAAAAAAGACATGATGATCATTGTATTCAGATGAATTATAGACACTAATTCCGATGAAGCTTTGGCATTGAGCCATCTTTAAGTTGTCGTTCATACTTCTTGTCTATCTAACTGGGGGAGAAATTCTTCTCTTCAAAACCTGCTAGACCAGTGTAGTGTCTCTGCCTGGCTTTGCTGCACTTCTGTTCTCTCCCTGATGCTCCCTGAGTCAAATCTGCTTTGGTTTGTGTTCGGCTCAAGTAACTTCACAGTAAGTTATTCCTTTCGTAGGTTCTTCTCACGTTCCTTTTTCTTCTTTTCTAAAAGTTCATCTCTCAGTACAGTATTTCTGCACTCACGGCTTGGTCTCAGGGTCTCTGCCCACAGTTTCCGCATTTCTTTGGGGCTACGTTTGTGGACCAGCAGGACAGTATGGTGGGCGCAGGGTTCCTGCGCTTCACCTTCAGGGAAATCAAAAGTGAGGAAGGCTGGGTGGTGGATAGGAACGACCCCCAGCCTCTGAAGACACATTCCCAGGTAAACGTCATCAATGGGAAACAGGTGAACTCTCTTAGACACCTGGAGAAGCCTGAGGACCAAGGCTCCAGAGTAGACCACACCTCCACCCCCTGCATATAATGGGTACATCCCCTTATAGAAGCTATCAGGGATGAAATACTTACTACTTTGTGAGCGTGAAGGGACAGCAGAGGTGATGACGTCTCCTACGACGAAATCCGCCATCATCTCACTGTGTCCAGATGTGTTCGAGCGAACCGCTTCCTTGTTGTTTAAGTAGTCCAAGAGAGCTGGTGTCCTCACAAAGACGTCATCGTCACCCTTGAGCACAAAGCGAGTATCCCGGCAGTTCTTCGAGAACCATTCCCAGAAGAGGACGTCCTTCAGCGTGAGGTTAAAGAAAGTGTCCAAAAAGTCCCACATGAGGAGGTCACCATATCTGTTACTCTCCTCTCTCAGGTTCTTCACGATATCTGGATTGTTTCCTGAATTATTTCTGCCCAAGAGGAAAACCCTGCGCACGTGCCCCCCTTTCCCTACACGTCCCTTTACCCAACCTGAACGCCCCCACGTCTTCCTGATGGCTTTGCGGTTTTCAAAGTTGGACGCCTGCGATTTAATGGCCAGCAGTAACATCGGAGCCTCACTCTGATTTTTACTGCATACCCTAGGCTGGTCAACGAGCAGCGGATAGTCTCTACAGTGCATGGAAATGACAAACCTTTGTATCTGAGCTGGCAGAGAGAAGTAATCCGATACTGTCCAGATCATTTCGTAATTAGGAAAGCATCCAGCGCTTTGCTGTGTTGACCTTAAATAGCTGTCGAGATCAGAGATATTTTGTGAAGTATTTGTCCTGGGATGTAGGATAGGGCTGTGCTGGCGATCCATGATGTGCTGGATGAGGTTCCAGTGAGCTTCTTTACTCAGGTCATATTTCCAGAAGGACTTGATAGGAAACGGGGCCAGGATCCCAGACTTATTGAGCCCTGAAGCTATGAAGAAGGGAGGCAAAGGAGGGCTTCTAGGCATCCCAACAGGCGAGGTGGAGGAATTTATGGATAAACACACAGCCAATGCAACGTAGATAAAGAGGCATCCTAACAGAATGCATGGTGTACATAAGCAGAGCAGGATCCGACAGCGATATCGCCACAGACAACAAGCCATTACCTGTAGACAAAAAAAAAAGAATTTACAACATTGATATTATGAGAAAGCAGCAACATTTGCTGGCCAGTGGTAAAGTAACATTGGGTAATTTTCTTCCTCGAACATCTACTAAAACTGGCTGTTAACAGATGAGATGAATCTGATGTGATCACTGAACTGCTGGACAATCTGATGAAACTGATGAGGCCTGGTGTAAGGTAAGGATATGTTAATGGTAGGTTGTAGGTTCCAGGGGAATCCCACTGATTTTTCAAAATTTCTGCAAAATTCAATCGTTGAGATGTAAACAAAGTCTTTCAGAGTGTTGACGCGAGATGGTTTGTTGTAGCGAAACTTCCAGACTCTTTATTTCTTCTTTACAGTGGCGGTGAAAGGAACTGGGGTTGTAATGTTTACAACTCAAATATAGTCCTTCTGTTTACCATTCAAAATGAACAGTAAACTTACACGCATCTTCAGAATTTCTATATGTAATGTTGATAATGGTACACTCTTAAAAGAGATGGTTCTTCAAGGGTTTTCTAGTAAAGACAATGGTTCTATACAGAACATGAATACTAAAAGAACCATGTGCATACTTAATTGGTTCTATGCATAGTGAAATGGTTTTTCAGACTGATGGAGAATGTGTTGTATATGGTTCTATATAGAACCTTTTTGAAAAGGGTTCTGTATAGCACCAAAAAAAGGTTATTCTATTGTTACATGCTTGACATTGTAACAATAGCAATACAATTTTTGGTGGTTTATAGATATCTCTATATAATATATAATGCAAATTCATGGTTATATATAGAACCATTGCCTTTATTAATTATAGAACCATAAGAGTGTAAACTGTTTTGGGGGGCAAATTTGTCTTATAAAGCACTGTTTGTACCTCTCTGCCATGAATGGATTTCAAATATATATATATATATATATATATATATATATATATATATATATAAAAGGACAAAGCCCTCTCAAAACTATCACAAACTAATGGTTCAAACATCATTTATTTTTTTTGGGTACTATATTTCCTCCCTACATGTAGGCCTACCTCTCCACCATGATGGATTACAAGAACTCCATTTTAGACCAACACCTTCTTGCAAAACTACTGTAAAACAATGCCTCAGGTATCAGGCAGCGTTTTAGTAAACACTTCAGTGCTTTGGACGTCTGGTTCCGGTTACCACCACTCTGAACAATTCAGACTCAGTTTCTCTGCGATGGTCCGTTTCCCACCAAACCACTCTGAATGACTTCGTTTACACACGAAGGACTTAAAGCAGAACTTTTAAAAAATCCTCCTTTAAACAACCATGTTAGAAAAATACCCCAAATCAACTCTACCTCACTACAGCATTAAAGGACCTATATTATGAAAACCTGAATTTTACTCACTTTTGTCAAATAAAAGTTTGATGTAGTATGTAAACGCTGAGTTTAAAAGCTCCACACAGTCCATAAACAAAAACTGAGCTGCAAAAACAGGTCTTTTTGAATTCACTGTTTCTGTGATGTCACAAAAAAACAGTCCATTTACGTGTCCACATATTCACACTGAAATTAGGGAGGTTTCAGCCCGGACTGCTTCTTGAATGAGGCGCAATAAAGTGCAACCAATCAGAGCTAATTTACATCACAGCACTCTGTAACAGGCTCAGCCTGTTTGATTATAAGGTAAAAAAAAAAAAAAAGGTTGGAAAATGGTCATGTAAAAATGAATTATGAATTTTGGTTCATAAAACTACACAGAACATAAGTAGAACTCGTGGGGTACATACACAACCAACAGAAATATGGGTCAAATAATATCAACACTGAAATTCTAACAAAAGTAGTTTATTTTTTTAGTATGACTACTGTGTCTCTCTTAGCCCTTGAATACAGCAGTCTGCTCATCAGCAAACGCTGCAAGCAATAAGGGTATCTGTACATACCGCGTTTTGAACAGCCTCAGTCCGAAACTCGTCCTTCCCTCCTCCCTTTACAGGGTATCATTCGTCCTTTATGAAACTCTTGTGGAGCACAATCGCGAATTATTTGATAAAGTCATATTTGACGTGAATACCAAAGAAGCTAGAGAATTTTTTTTCCTACGGTGGGGCTGTCCTCCCATCTGCCGCTCTAACATTGATCTGGAAGTGTGAGGTGTAGTGGAGCTGTGCTGGTTCAGCCTGACGCGCCCAGGCGTGACTGCGAGCCACTGCTACGCCCATTAACCTATGAGTCCTATGACTCGATAAACGAGGGCTTTTATTCTTTTGTTACAAAAAAAAATTTTTATTTTATTATTAGGTTCAATCATGTTTGTAATTGTGACAATTTCTGTCTCTAGTATATTAAATTATTTATTAAAGTTTGTCCAAAAATAAATAAGTGTGCCTGTATGACCTGCTCAGTTCATGTTTACACACAATTTACATATACTTATATTTAGCCAATCAGCGTCATTCTCTAATATTGCTTTAATACGCCTGTCATTAAATGTTCAACCAATCAGCGTCGAGCTCTGACGCTCCTCTGAAGGACCTCGTTGCTCCGTTGTGATTGTTGCCTGACGCTTTGCGCGCGTGCCTGTTGTGCGTAAACCAGAAGAACAAGAACCACAGCGTGTTAAATTACGCAATAAACGCGCGGGTTGGTGCCAATATTCTCTAAAGTTTGCAAACACGTCGGATTAATTACTGGTGATGGTCAAATAAGCACAGATCCATCATGTGATTCTCTCTTGTGCGCACACAGGTTCACTTTCTGTGGTCTGCTGCAGTGTCTCCCACCTCCTGTAATCCATTTGCACTGCACCGCTTCGTGCCTTCCTTGTCTAACACTTCTCATGATGTGACTCCAGGAAGGTGGCCTACAAGACAGATTGCCACAGAGACTGAATCAGAGGAAATCAGATGATGTACCTGTGCCTATTTGACCACCCCTAATCCAGTCAACAGAGATATCTTCTTAAAATATTTCATGATTGACAATAAAATAAGTAATGTCATACTCATGGGGCCCCATGTGGCTTAGGGGTCACAAGTGACTGCTCATATAGGAAGAAATGGCCCAATGCTAAAACAAACATGCTTACACTGTTATTATGAAATGTGTGGATCACTGTTAATCCTGCTACAAGAGCTATGTTATAATTTTGTCACTGGCTGGTTAAAAGAGTTTTATTTACACAAGTCATCTGCTTTGCCCCTGAAAGCACCTGTTCTGGTTTTAGGTTCACATCCCAGCTGCCACGTGCTGTCTATTGCCATCTGTTGCTTACTAAAACAGGATAAAAGCAGGGTCCCCTTTTCCCTTTTTGCTGTGCGATTTACAAGCGAATCATGCCATGATTCTGAATGTCACAGACACGGATACATTCTGATCAGAGTACTGAAAAATTCTAGTCCTTAAGTTTCCGCTCATGGGCTGAATCAAAGTGGAATATTGGCATCAGGTGGTATTAGACTTGCATGATGTACTGTCCGGTGACTTACCTGTAAGTTTGGCAGGATTAGTACTGGAGAGAGAGAAACTATGGGGTACTGCATTGAAAAAGTAGCAATAACAAACAAATGAAAGAACTAAGGCAGTAGTAATCAATGATTAACACTGGTATTGAATTAACCCACAATCAGGGTCATAGACAACACTCTTCAAAAGTGAGAATAGAAACAATATACACATTATATAGATATGACAGTTTTTAAAATGGTAGGAATAGATTTATTTTTTCCATATGAACAAGTGGTTTGATTTTTTTTACAAGTACTATTTTTTGAGAAAACTTGCAAAAATTTCTAGCATATTCCAAGTCAAGAATGGACATGAAAAAAGGGGATTTATTGCTGAATGTCAAAATGAAAAGTACACTTTCACCGCGTGAAGACAACTCAGTTGCTGCGTTTACCATGCACCCATCTACCAGAACCACTAGGACATGCAGAGAGAGGGAAGCCTCGACAGGCAGACAGAGGAGGGACAGAAAAAAAGAAAAGAGAGAGAGAAAAGGAGAGAAAGAAATCTGAGTCAAGAGAAGCTTTAGATGAGTGTTTAGGATGTGGATGTGAAGACACAGGACAAAGTGTGTGTTGCGTGACTGTATGTGTATGTAAGTGTGTATGTAAGAGTGTGTGTGTGTGTGTGTGTGTGTGTGTGTGTGTGTGTGTGTGTGTGTGTGAGAGAGAGACGCTGGGTGGGGGTGTTTTGGGTGTGTATTTTTTCTGTTTGGTTTGTTTTCAAGGCGAGTTGTGGTTGGGTAGAAACTGGGAGGAGAAGCTCATTTCACAATCCATCCACTTAAAGAAGCTCATCCACTCGCCAAACCTGCTTTGCAAGTCTCCAGATTGCATACAAGACACACGGCCAAAAAGAGAGGGGACAGCGAAAGGAAAGGGACAAAAGAAAAAAAAACACAAAACTCCAGGTCATCACAGACTTTCCACAGGTTTCACAAACGAACAGGCGTAACTGGTCGCATCATTCTCCACAGTCTCCCCCGCCACATAGTACACAGGAGCCCAGACAGCCACGGGTCAGGTCTGAGTGAGAGGTGCTTATGGGCAATGTGGTTTTTTGATGGGAAGTCCTGAGACACAGTGCGGCTTTAAGCTGCTGGCATAGGAACAGGGGCGTGTGAGCTAACGGGGGATGTGGGTCCTTGTAGGCTAGAATCAGGCTGGATTGGTTCCTCCGCAGGCAGCTCAGCGGCCAATGACTACACATGGAAGGAAGATTACAGTGCAATGAGCTCATTTCACCACTGGGGAGTGGCAAAATCACCAGCATGTCTTTCCCAGTTTATTTTTTTGTTGTTTTTGTTTTTTTTGTTGTTTGTTTTTGTCAACCATTGTTAACATTGTTCTTTAAACTTAAAGCCAACTTAATGGAACCATAGACAGCTCCCTTTTGACACATCCGAAATCTATGAGAGAGATCACAGCCATACGCACACTAACCTTTAGGCTGATGCAAAACACATAAACTACTTCTTCACACAACAGGCAGGCACATACTCCCTAAAATGAGCACACAAACACAGCCCTACTCGGCTGCCCGATCTAAATCTCCAGATTTTGGTCTCATAGACCTACATTCTGTGATGGTCACTGAAGCGCTCAATGTCATCACATCCACTCTGTGAGGCCACAGGGCTGCAGGCGTATAAAATACACTAATGAGAGGACAGCTTGACCCACTTCTAGGTTAATATTGACACCAAAATCTGCACATTCACGCATAAATTGTGTATTAGCTAATTTGGAGCACAGTCTTCATTAGCTGTTCTATTATTTTCTATTATTTATTTATTATTTTTGGAACTCGTCCCGTTTCGTTTTTTTATCACATGCGCATTGCTATAAATTTTGGGGAACTACCAGAGCTGCTGAAGTCTGCATTCCAAGCAGCCTTTCTGGAAGTTCGCAGAAATTCCACAGAATGGTCCAGATGAATGTAGAATTAGACAGCCCTGAAGTCCTGTGGACTTTCTCTGCGTGTCTGCAAGAACAGACAAGACCAGAGATTTAGACTGGGCAATTCTTTCACATGCACACACGACAGTACAACACACGCTGACTCAGACTCCCCCACCACACACTGGTGAGAAAACACATTCATTGGACGTACACACACTTCCATTTTAAGAACCCTGAACACCGGGGCAGGTACCATGACACCGTACCGTGCCCTATGAACTCCTGCATACCTGTGTTTCCATGGAAACAACATGTGATGACCACGGGGGAAAACATAATGCTAACAAGAGAACAGAATGACCCCTCACACACAAGCCATTTCCTGTCTCAAACAGGAAGCATGTCGACTGCAACTCTGTATGGCCAGGGAAAAACGACCGGTATGTGTATGAACCCCTACTCATGTAAACAAACACCTTTTATGTAAAAGTGATTCCCATATTGCATGATGTCTGAATCATATCACAGTTCGAATGGGGAGATCCTGAACAAACAAACCGAAAAGAAAAAGGAGACAAACATGTCTATATAAAACCCAGGAGTCCATTTTAAGAAAGGCTACAAAAACTCAATGGAACCTCCCTCGTCGGCATACAGCAAAAGGCACCACAATATTATTCTATTTCTAAGTTGTGAAAAAATTGGCACGTGATTCTTCTTCGTAATGCTGTAAACCAAAAAAAGAAATTACATATAAATAGTTTTCCCCCTATAAAAAAGTCTTTGCTGCTAGCTAGTAGACAATTTTTGCTGAAATGAAAATAAATATTTCATTTGTTTAGAATATCTGTCTGTTATATAAAATAAAAATATTTCTTATAGGTGCAGGTCTATAGCATATCATTTTTTTCTCTCTCTCTCTCCTACATACGGTGTTTCAGCATCCTTGTCGCTGTTCTTTTTTTTTTCCTTTTTTTTTTTTAAAGGGGTGCATTGTCCGGTTTGGACCGAGACTGCGACAGTTTGCTAGTTTGCGTGTTTGCGCGGGATCCGCCCCGCGCTGTGTTGCTGTATGTCCGTGTATCGTTGGGCCGGTAGATGGTGACCGGCTCGGTGATGGTCATGTTCTGCATGCTGAGGAAGGGCGTGCTCTCTCCGTGCCCCAAGTCCCCTATCTCCTCCTCATCCTCCTCCCCATCCCAATCGCTGTCCGACAGACAGCTCTGGGAGCTGTAGTCTCTGGGGCCCTTGGCGCGCTGGGAAACGTGTCCGTTTTGCCGCGACCTCCTGCGCCAGCGCCGACCGCTGCCAATCTTCTTGGGCCGTTCACGGGACGACATATATTCCTGCGTGGTCTCGTAGTCCTCATCGTCCGCAAAACGGTATGGGCTGGAGGGCAGCGAGCCCGTGCTCTCTGCTCCGCAGTAGGGCCGGCGCGAACGGCGGTAGCGCTGCAGCAGCGGCTGGTCGTCGTCGGGTGAGTACGAGCCCACTGCAGCTGCAGGCGGCAAGCTGAGGGCGTGGCTGGCATTGGGCGTGGTGATCTGGAAGGTAGGCACCTGCTGGGGCAGTGAGGAGTGGAAGTCCACTGGAGACAGGCGGGCGGGCGTGGTCAGCGCTGACACGTACCTGGACGGGAGAGAGCATAGAACAGAAGACAATGTAAAAGAAAGAAAATAGAGGAAAAGAGGAGAGAGGAAGAGTAAAGAAGAGAAGAGAAAAATTTAATTTCTGAACCTTTTCAATCACAGTAG